CGTTTCCTGTACCTTGCTCTCAGGAGAACACTTAGACAGATTAATTGGCAGTTAAGTGAGCAGTAGGAACTGCTAATCTCACCTTTTCTGAGCTGCCCTCTCCCCTTCTTGTTTCTGAAGGGCTTCTATGGATAACACTGTGAAGTCCATCAGATAGCACCAATGGCTCCTACCACCAGGGCAGATACTGTGGTTCACCATCACCTACCAAAACCACAGCTCCAGCTGAAGCTCATTGTCCCAGCACCTCTTGGGTGCATTTTGAAAGTGTGATTAAAAAAACAAAATACTTTGTTCTTTTGGACAAATGCTATATGGTTAAAACAGTAAGAACTTGTGCCTCACTTCAAAAACCTCACATGACTGGCAATTCTTTCTTCCTCAGAAGATGAAGATTAGGAAATGATAAATATTCAGAGGAATCAGATTTTCGGAAGCTTGCAACTATTTCAGGTATCTGTTACTGACAAATTTTACAATGAAAATAGTTCAAAGACATACTGGAAGTCTCAAGCAGCATAAATTAAAACAGAAACATAATGAATTAAAAAAAAAAAGAGAGAGAGAAAGAAAAAAGAAACAGGTTAGAGATGCAAAGATCAAAGCAGAGTCAAGCAAAAGATGCTCTGTGGAAATAACTCTGTGCTAACTCCAGATATGGCCAGGGAGCATTACGGACATCTGCATGGGAGGTGGAAAAGACCATCTGTCTGGCACTAAGCAGAATATTCTGTCCAGAAACACTGCTCTTTAATCTGGCAGTTGTGATGGTGGTGGGGGCACCCAGGGTCTCTGCTAACCACCATCACGTGCACCCAGTTCACTCCCAATTACTGCCAGCATTCAAAAGCTAAGCAATTGAGCTTCACAACATATCTACATATATGATATATATTATTAGAGCAACAGTCCAATGATTCAGCCGTTTGCTACAATCATACTATGAAATGACAGGTATTGAAAAGTGTGATTTGCACCTCTGTGTGCGCAGCAGTGTGCGGCCAGGCAAGGCTGCGCTCTCCTACAGCACAGACTGTACGTGTGGGGCTCCTCCTGCACCAGCCTGTCAGGATCCCTGGGCATAAACATCTTCCCAGGCTTCAGAGTGAAGCATTCACTGATAAAAGCGTTTCCCATTTTCTGTCCATCATTCTATCAACTACAGAAAGTGTTCAAAAAGATCCTCTGTTGGTTGCTGTGTGAAATCTTGAAGATTGTTCCAACTGCTGCATGAGAGAGGCTTTTACATATAAATATATATAAAATATTTATGTAAGATATACACACATCATTTACAAAAAGCAATTATCAAATGAAAAGTTAGCCACAGTCAGACGAGGAAAAAAAAACAACTCCTAACGTGACTATTTTCCTAAGACCACCCTCTCCCAGTGTGCAAGCTTGGGCTTCTTTCTCATTTCTTTAAGCCACTAACAGTCACCACAATATTGCTAAGCTTTTAATCTGGTCTCATTTCATACAGATTTAGACCTAAATGCCATACAAAACTAGACTTTAAGGGTTCCTCACATCATCGTGCAAGCCTCCATTTTAATCAGCATTAAATATCCACGTTAATCTAAGCAACCTCGGTAGACACTGCTAAAGCTACAGAACAAGAACCGAACAGGCAAGGCGCCCATTAGCCCCATCAGAGATTCATAGTGCTGATATGAAAAGGAAATTTCGCCCACAAATTGACATTGCTCTTGTATTTGAAAAAGTATCTAGATATAAAGTGTTTTACCACTATATGTGTATACTCCCTAAAATTTAAAGTATCTTGTAGTACAAACACAAAAGTGAGATATCAACAAAGCTGCAGACATTTTTTAACAGCAAATATTTATCTACAAATATCACAAGCAGAAATAAATACTGCTAGTATTTGGTAAAAAGAGGTAGTAATACCCAGTATCTGAGTATCTGATCTTTCTCTTATTCCTCCAGGTATTGGTTGGGATGAAATATATATATATATATGTATGTTTTGGTAACTTTTCTGCGAGATCAGTTACCCAAGTTAGTTTGTTGAGGTCACCAAAACAGCTGAGCTGCCACAACAGTGCTGGCACTAAAGGTGCCCAACACAGCAGAATATGACAATTCCCTATGGATTTCACTGGGACCAAATGAAACTGTCGGCAAAGTTGTCTGTCCACAAGGAAAAGGTCACCAGAGAACAGGTTTAGCACACAGGTGCTACATATCGATGCTGCACTCGGGTGCTGTTTAGACACGTGAATGTCCCAATAACAGATTTATTTTTACCTGGTATTTTGGTTATTTCTCCATCGAAGCATTAAAGACACCTTTCCAAGATGAAGACCTCGTTCTGATCTGCCCTATCCACAGCCCTGGGCAGCACGGCTCGCTCTTCCCACGGCCGCTGGCGCTGACGGAACTTTTGTCTGGAGTCACTCCTCCGCTTTCTGGGAGTCATGAAAAGCGCGTGTCAGCACAGGCAGCGGCCGGGAAGGCATTAGAAAGGATTGGAACCGACTCCCCATGGCAACAGACCCTGAAAGGGAATTAGCATTGGCTGCCCATTCCTCAAGAAACCTACATGGAATTCGTTTTCCCCCCATTTAAGGAATTATTTCCTGGATGGGGCACTGCCTTGGAGGACGCCTGCCTCGCGTGCCGTTTTCAACGGTTGCCCCAGCAGATACTAAGTTGATAAACAGCACTAAATGTGCACAGTTTTCCTTGCAAAGTGTTCGGGTCCTCTGCGTACCTTCCAGTTGCTTTTCTTAGCTCTCTATACACAAAGTTGCCAGATAATCCAGATCTTTTGTTGGTTTTGATACTCAAAGGCTTTCAAACTCCGCTGAGAAGTTCAACACAAAAGTCTTTCGACACTGAAGATTTTTATACAGAGAGAACTCGCTTCAGCACAGCTGGCAATGCTATTTTTTTGTTCACCCACAGTGTTCTGCTATAGCTAATCCCGTTGCTCCCGTGGGACACACACTAGCCCTCCCCTTGGCAAACTCACACCCAACCAGAGCCTTCATAGCTTCTGTTTGACTTCCAATATTGGGAGAAAATATTCTGCTAAAGAAAAAACAATAGACAAATGTCACCACAACCGCCCCCCCCTTTTCTTTTTTATAATATATAATCTGGGTGCTTACTCTCAACGAAGTTCAGGCAGCCAGTCTGCCTTCTTGCATTTCTGGGATTCCTTTTAAGTTCAAAGCATCTTCGAGAGCTCATAGTCACGGCTAGGAGTGATTCAGACACAAAAGCCCTTCAGAAGCGCCCTGGCAAGGGACGTACGGGTCTGTACTTGGGTACGGGATGGTTCTACGGGATGGTTCTTCCTTTCCTCCCTGGCGTCAAACACTATTCCTCGGAGTTTCAGGTTCCTGGCACCTCACAGGATGGCAGAAAATTCCTTTTGCTAAAACATTTCAGTACCACTAAACTTGACAGTTCCCCATGTGACAACTAGATGCTGTAACTGCAGTGGAAAGCACATCCTCTAAAGGTGATTTGACTTTCCAAAATTACCAGTGCATTTTAACCGATACCACCTAAGTCCCTTACAGCCTCCATTGCCCATAAGGGGCAGAAGAATTCTAGCCCCCAGTGGTGCAGAAACGCATCCCGTGCCATGGAGCAACGGAATATCAGCATCCCGCACAGCCTGCCCATTGCTGCACCTTGCTGGAGGCCTTCCCACCCTCGGGAAACATGACTAGAGCTGTAGGAAACTTTTCCACTTCCACCATTACAGAACTCCTAAAAGCAGATCGGAGTTCCGCGTTAGCAAAGTATTCTGTGCAAAGCTCTCATTATACTTTATGTGCAAAAACACAACAAAAGTTGCCATTCCACACTACCAAATAGGTGGTTTGAATACTGAGCAGGCAGCCCAGGGTGAACGACCAAAGGTGTCAGCAGGAGGAGACCTCTGGTCACTCAAGAGCACATCTGTTTCCAGAAATTGAGCTAGTGCAGCGCTGCTTCCTGCTGCTTTGTCTGTATGTCTCTCTACGGCATAACTTGTAAAAAGCAAGTGAATTTGTGAGCTTCAACACAGCAAACGTTTCCCTCAATGGCTGCTAAAAACCCCCACATCCTTAAGAGCTTCTGAAAATACCCCGTGGACTTACAGATCTTTTCTCAAAAGCAAAACAGTGTGTTAAAGCAATGAAATCATGGCAGTGAACATGGAATATAAGCTTACCTCCTTACTGATCATTATTTTGGAATCCTCATCTGTTTCCTGAAATTGAGCTAAATATTTCTACCCTGTAGGTGCTTTTGCAGCTTTAAAAAGAACCTGCCTTCCTCAACAGACCAGCAAAGGCACAACCTGCAGAAGACAGGCAGCAAGCAGCACACGAGAGCTTGCTTGTGAGCATCCATCTCTCACCAGGACGAGTATTTGGTCCTCTGGACCTCTTAGCAGTTCTCAGACTAACATGATGAGACCCTGCTATTTGTGATGGGCAACACTGCTTCAGCTATTTCTGAACCTACAACTATTGCTATGGTTTACATAACCCCGGCGGTTGCTCTGCTGCAGAACGGCACAACTCACAGTTTGATAAAATATAAAAACAAGGTGCCTGGAGGGCACACACACGTTTTGTGTGATATTCAGCTACTTACTGACTCAAGTACAGTCTCCCATGGAAAGGATGCTTCCTACTACAACAAGACCCTCTGCATTTGTCACCAGTGGAGAGGGCTGGTGCTCACCACCATTATTCTTGGTTTTCTCTTGTGAGGGCCCCGCTGGGCTTGCTGCGATTCCACGTGCTGGTCACTCATAGCAGGGAGCCCGGGCTGCAGGCAGCAGCCGCGTCCGCGCTCAGCGGCGCCCGGCCTTGCTCACAGCACCCACCTCACACCCACGTTTGCTCACGCTCGCAGCGCACGGGCAAACCATCTTCCCGTCACTGCCAGGAAATCAAGCCTGCAACGGAGCGGGGACTGCTTCACAAGCAGCTTGTCTCCACTTGAACTTCCTTGCAAACGGCCTTGGATTACTGGAAGTTGAAGAGACCCACACGGACACCTTTCCGCACGTCACTCGATGCTTTAGTGCACAGGACCAGACCGTTTGCAGCTGTCCAAGTCACGGGGGGCACGTGCAGCACCCCCAGCTCTGCAGCCGGGGCTCCTTCCAGCACCGCAGCAGGTGCCTTCTTCCCAAACGCTCTGCCCACCCCTCTTGCACACACCCTTACACTCCTTCGCTCTGGCAAAGGCTGGGCGAGCACTTTTTTAACCTCCTCCTGGGTCTCCTGACCCAGAAAGTCAGGAAAGCAACTCATAAGCTCAGATCTCCGGAGCGGACGGAAGAAAACAAAAGAGAAGACCCTTGCGGCAATTCGGTGGGTCTGAACCAGCTCCACAGGGAGCACCTTCTGCTCTGGACATGGAAGCACTAGACAGATGCGTCCTTGGCACCGCGTGGGCCCCAGGGCTCCAAGCGGTTGGGCTGTTGGCGCTGCCGACCCTGCGCTACGGCCCGAGGGAACCGCGCGTTCCCGACGGCTCCGAGACTCCTCGCTGCACAACAGACGCCCTCTGCACCCTCTGCATCCTGCTGCGCCAAGAGGAAAACACCCCAGTAACCCCCTGTTCAAACACCTGCCCTCATCCCAGCGAATCTGAAACACCAACAAGTGAAGCTTCTGCAAAACGTGGTCTTCCTCCCACTGAAGACTCCAGCATTAGGTCTGTCCTATCTGAGATAACGCAGGAGGTTTCTAAAAGACCTTTGGTGTTTTTTTGCTTGGTTTGTTTTTCTTACCTTTTCTTAACTAGACTTCCTTAAATGTAAGTACTATACAGTTGTGTACCTTTGCCATCCCAGTTATCAGTTAAACTAGATCTAGATCGGTTCAGAGCATCTCAAAAACAAACAAATGTCTCCCCCCCACCACACACACACACACACAAATGCTTATTCAAATCTCATTAAAGAAAAAGCTTTTTCTTAATAGAAACATCACTTTGCAGACCCCAAAAAAATACTCAGCTTCCATGTAAAACCTTTCCTGGAAATAGAGAAAAGCTAAATATTGGATAGAGGACTAAAATTGGAGGTAAATACTACTACTCACAAGACAGCCCTGTTATTTTGCTGCTCATTATGAACTGTTTTGTTGCTATGGGTATTTTCTTGACAATGTTTAAACTGACAGATTGACTTGGGCAAAACTGGGACCCGTTCCCAGCGGGTGGCCCCTGCTTTGCTTCGATGGGGTGAACATTTTACTTCCCTTTCAGAAAGCTGGCGATATTGATCAAAGCCCTTGTGGGACACCCGCCTCCCAGGGCGAGGGGACAGCAGCACTAAATCATTCCCCCAGGCAGCCTCCCAAGCAGAGCCCGTATTGTTAAAATAACGAGCACAGGCTGGATCCAAAACCACCAGCTGATCCCCATTTCTACAGGCGACGGCGTAAAACCAGAGCACGGTCTGCAGGCAGTCCCACTCTTAACAAAATGCTTATATTCAACTGATAAAACACTTTGTTTTAACAGCCTATTAAAAAAAAAAAAGACTTTCAGAGTTTGTGGGGGGATTAAAAAAAAAAAAGGAAAACAAGAAAGATCCCTTATTTCGGGGAGCTACTGATTAAACATCAAAAAAAAAAACATTCAGCAGTTTGCACTCTGCTGTCCCTCACCTCCTCAAAAGTCTATATTGTTTTAATATACTATGATACCTCAGTTAAGGAATAAAGGCATCTCGCTGGAGGGTTGTACCCGTTCTGGTTTTCCGGGACTTGCAAACACTCCTCGTTTCGGCCCGGGCACCCGGATCCTTGTCTCCCATTTCCCCAAGTTTTGCACCACACCGGTCCGAGGTCCCAAGGACAAGTAACCCGGGAGAGCCGCGGGAAGGGGGCAAACATCGCACCTCGGAACGCGGCGTTAAAGCACACTCGAAACAAAGAGCCTATGACCAGCTCATCAGATAAGGGCTTATTATCTTTTTCCCTGGGATTTAATAACTCTTCTTCCTCCAAAAAACACTCATTGGGAAGCAACAACTGCTTGAGACTAGGAGTTTTAACTATAACACGACATAGATGAAATGTAATCTTTACCTTAGGAAGAAGAAATAGAGGAGCCTAAAGGGTCAGTTTTGCCCACAAAACCGGGTGTTTCACGGGCACGCGAGCCCGACCCCCTCGAGCCGCTCACCCCAGCCGGCCGGGGCTTCATAGGTGCCATTTAACCCAACTTCTGACCTAATCCTGGGGGAAAAAGGCACCGGGCACCCTCAGCTGAGGGTTTTTAGCACTTACAGAGCCAACAGCTTTACCGAGCCTCAGGAGCCAGCAGGACAAAAGTGACCTTTCCCCCTGCGAGGGGCCACTAGGAGTTTTATCTTTCGCGATTTCCATGATTTCCTCTTCTGTGACGCACCCAGCAAAGCAAACACGGGTAACGCGGGAATAACGAGGGAACAACAAAGTCGCAGAGAAGTTACCGGAGGGCGGGAGGCCGCGGTGCGAGCTGCCCCCCTCCGCGCCTTCCCCCGAGGGCAGGAGATGGCGCCGCCTTTGTCCGCCCGCTCTGCGCCCCCGGCAGCCCCGTG